GGGTATAATTTAAAATCACTTGCTAAAGAACTCCTTGAAGAAACGTTGTTGTGTATACTGGAAGATAGTTTATTGAGGCAATCTGAGAGCCTGTAGTGTAAAATGTGGCCCGAAAGAGCGTAAACATAATATGGGCTTTTTGTTTGTGGAAAACTAAACGTCCTCTGAAGTCTGAACCAAACAAAGTGTAATTTATGAAGTGTAGTGACTATGCTGTGTTGTTAAACAATATATATATATATATAACTATACAAGAGTTTGTACTCCATGATGGGTTCATCTGTGCATATTAATATTTGCTGTGGTTCATAGTTGTCAAGGGCGAAAGGCGCACCGAGGCGCAAAGTTCCGTTGGGCCTAAGGCGAGAGGCGCAAGGCGAGGCGCACGACTTTTTGAAGAGAGGCGCACCTATGCGAAAAAATAATTATTTCTGAAAATAATTGTATTATGTGTGCTTTTTTGAAAAAAAAACTCGCTTTTTGTGCGCTTTTTCGCTTTTTTGTGCGCTTTTTCTGAAAAAAGCGCGCTTTTTCGAAAGAAAGCGTGTTTTTTTGACCGATTTGAAAGAAGCGCGCTTTTTGGTGCCTTGTCGCTTTTCTTGCCTTGTCGCTTTTTTGCGCTTTTTGCTCGCCTTTTTTAAGTCGCCTCGCCTGGGGGTCAGCAAGGCGCTAGGGGTGCGCCTCGCCTCGCCTTGGGCCTAGGCGCGCCTTTGACAACTATGCTGTGGTTGCCCCTGATAGGTGGAATAGTTATACATTAGCCTCTTTGTAATGAATGTATTTTTTTATGGGCCTTTGTGATGAATACTATGCAGCATGTTAAAGGAAATTGGTTCAGATGTGTGTTTCTACAAGACTAGAGTCTTAATCAATAGTCACAGATGAAAATAAAAATTGACTTAGTACCAAAGCTAAAGAAAATAAAATAGGACCAGAGTTGTTTGGAAGCCTATTATCTAACGTCTGTGGTATAATGTCCTTTCTTCCTAAAGATGAAGACTCTCTACCATCAATGAATGAAAGACAATTTCAAACTGGTTATTTATTTCCTTATGACTCTCCACTGAGGGTATAGTGCCGACTTTAAAGCATTCATTTGACTTCTCAACTGAGCTGTCTCTTTTCTGTATCTCTATACTCGTTTATGTGGAAAGTTTCCATGGTTCATTTTTTCTATGATGCTTGGAATTGATTTCATCGAGATGAAGACCAACTGGGCCAATTGAGTTGCACACATGGTACTTGAGGTTCATTGAAACTTACTATAGAAGTTGAGAGATACACTTGTGGTGGTGGATACTGCAGCGACTTCTCTGGTTAAATTCACACTCTTCATAAAATTCGATGTGGTTATTATATTTATGTAATGTCACGCCTTACCTTATCAAATTGACTTGCATTGCTTCATGTTTATCTATAATGCCGACCACGTGCATTGTTGTTAGGTAAGTAATGACTCATGCATCCGATGATTAAGATAATACCAAAAAGAATTTGAAAGCATGACACATTGCATTACAAGGGTTGTTGAAGACGTTGCGTTGTGTTGGATTGAATTTTTATTAGTTATCCTGTGTACCTCTCTTCTGTGGGTATTGCCTAAGACTTTTGATTTGTTGGAAAAACCAGGTTGCTGATTTGATTTATGGTTTGTAAATCTGCATACCTCTGAGTGTTTAGACCGTCGTAGGAGAAAGGGACTTGATTATATCACCTATTCGAGTAAGATAAGAATTGGTGGTTTATATATTTCTGCCTATAGTTCTTCTGCTTGTTTCAGAGTGAGACCTTTCTGTTTTTTCGTTGGACATCTTGCTAATTTGAGTCCCTTTTAGATATGGAGGAGGTTCTTCAATCTCCAGTCCCCTTTGCTCTCGACGCCCTCTGAAAAATGAAGGTTTTCGATCATTAAAGTGATCCTTTCAAAAGAAGAAAAGAAAAGAAAAGATCAATAAAGTAAACCGGAAAGGCGAAAAGGGCCTGGAAAGGGACGCATCAAAACTGGGACGCATCAAAACTGTCCAGTATGAGACTCGAGAGGAGCCTCTCCCATTTTGTTGACATGGAGTATTTATCTTGAATTGGTGAAGGTAAAAAATATGCGAAAAGAAAATGAAGTCATGCTAAAAAAAGTTCTGCAGAATTATAGTAATTCTTACCACTACTATGCTTATCTTTGTTTCCTTTTAGGTCTTGCTAAAAAATGTTCTGCAGAATTATAGTAATTCTTGCCACTACTATGTTTATATTTGTTTCCTATTAATGGGCCGTTTGGTAACCTCGTTTTTTTTCAGTCTAGTTTTATTATAGTTTTTGCTTACCGTCTTGATTTGGGTCAAACGGGTTAGGCTTATAAGTCTATGCCAACTGCAGAGGCATAACTCATGGAAGTCAAAGCTACCTGAGACTTAATTGTTTGCGAGCCCGCAAGGAAGATTTGCAGGGAATCACGTAAGGAAAAACACGTTTGGATTCATTCCGGATTCCACAAAAATTTAGAGAAGTATCTATAAATTTTTGAATATTATTTTATGTGGCTCTATAGAAAATCAACTCTAACGGACATCGGTAAGTATTACTTTTAGACTTGTAAGGGCGAAATTGCTCTCTGTCACAGCTAATTTTTTTACAGGGTCCTATAAAATAATATTTAAAAATTTATAAATATTTTTCTAAATTTTTGTGGGACCCAAAATGAGCCCAAATGCGTTTTTCTTTGTGTGGTTCCCTGCAAATTTTCTTTGCAATTAGAATTTTCGATTGTTTGCTGATGAGGATTAGTGATATTAATTAATTGTGATCCGAATTGCAGTGATAAGGACACAGACGACTACTGTGATGTTTACGCTAATTTGCTAATCGTGCAAATTTTCTAACACTCCCTCCGTCTCTTATTTATGGTCTGGTATTTCATTTTGGGCTGTCCCTTAATAAGTGTCCATTTTATAAAGTTAGTAGGTAAAAGTTGGTGAATTGTCTATTTTGTCCCTAAAAGTAGATTCCATTTTAAAAAGTAAATGAGTAAAAGTGTAATGATGATGGGTAAGTAGGGAAAGTGGAGGAAAAAGTTGATGTGAAAGTTATAATGATGATGTCTTTTTAATAAGTTGGAGTTACGAAGCAGGACACTTAAAAAGGGACGGAGAGAGTAGTTAACTTGTTCACCCCCATCTTTTTCCATTTCCCCCGTTTGACTGGAAAATGGGGATTTGTTGGATAAATTTACCCATTTGCTCTCCCCACTTTATTGTATGTGTACTATTAAGGGCAAATTGGTAATTGCACTATTTATTGGATTAATTGTTTTGAAATTTAAAAAATGAGGTCAAGCATACCCATTCACAACTTAATCGTTAGTGTGAACAACTTTTAATTAAGTTGTGTTTCACAACTTTAATCGTTAGCGTGAACTAGTACATATTTCCACTAATGTTTTTGGATAACAAGTTGTGGCAAAATTGCATGTTGTTCAGTCTAATTGAGAAGTTCTGCATCCCCATTCTTTCTTTCTTTTCTTTTCTTTTCTTTTTTTGTTAATATTGCATACTTCAGCGGGGAGTTAGTGGGGGTTAGTTCAAAGGGGGTTCAGAAGTTGTCCATAGCCTTGAATCCCAAATCGCCCCTTGCAGGGACTCAAACCATGCCTCCATTGAGGGAGGCGTACTAATTGAGCTAAGAGCTCATTGGTTCATCCTTATTCAATAGTGTGAACAACTTGTGATTTTCAATGATTAAGTTATGGTGCATAATTTATTCATTAGCGCAAGTTTATCAGTTGTTATGTAAAATTCCTAGTAAACAGTGCATTTTTTTCATTTTACCTACTCAAATCTCTTTCAACACTACACCAATACTATCTATTTAATCTATTCTCTATTAAAATACTATTACTTTTATTACCCTTTTTCTTTTTAGGGGGAGAGAGAGATGGAGTGAGAGTGAGAGTGAGAGTGAGAGTGAGAGAGAGAAAGTAATAAAGAAATGAAAAGCCTTGTGAACAGGGCTTTGGTACATTTACCGAACCATTTTATCAAAGTCAATTTACCTCTTCTTTTACCTCCTCTGCAGTTGCTTGTTTTTGAGTGTTTTCTTTATGTAAAATAGCTATAAAGCCATTTTACCCCACATGATGTACTTGCTCTTAGCTTGAACAACCACTGTACAATCTGAGAGTGATTGGATGACACCGAACAACATCAAATATTGACTTTTAACACTATCTTCCTCAACAATATCTAGTAGCAGCACACAAAAAACTGTGAACCGTGAAATTGGTCCAGACCGAACCGATCAGTATCGTTTGGATTTTGTCCATGTATTAATGGTCCGGACACGAATTCAAATATTAGAAAACTGTGAGATATGAATTATTATTGGTTTTTCATTTTAAAACCATTGATTAACCAGACTAGTCCGTGAGATAATTAAACAATATTAAAAATATAATATACTTCCTCCATCCCTTTTTAAGTGTCTTGCTTCGTAACTATAACTTATTAAAAATACATCATCATTATACCTTTTACATCAACTTTTTCCTCCATTTTTTCTACTTACTCATCATCATTACACTTTTACTAACTAACTTTTCAAAATAGAATCTACTTTTAAGTTAAAAATAGACAATGCACCAACTTTTACTCACTAACTTTACAAACTCACTAACTTTACAAAATGAACACTTATTAAGGGACAGCCCAAAATGGAATACTAGACTCTAAATAAGGGACGAAGGGAGTACTATGTAATATCAAGTCGTGCCCCATATTGTTGCTGAAAACTCGAGGGTTTTTTCCAAACCTGTCGAGATGTCTGAAGAGCTAGAACTTGAGCACTTGCGCTGGGCGAGAGCTCCGGGAAAAGACCTGAAAGTGGCTCTACGGTAAAACGGTGAGTCTACCTCGAACAAGCATAAGAAACCTGATCTACGGCGAAACTAAAAGGTTCGAATGTAAGAGAAAAAGAAATAAGAATTTTTCAGCTATACACCTAATTTTCTTGGGATTGTAGTTCAATTGGTTAGAGCAACGCCCTGTCAAGGCGGAAGTTGCGAGTTCAATCCTTGTTAGTCCCGATGGTTTTCAAAAATACATCAATTCATCTCTCCATTTTCTGTGAAAAAGGGGACAGGGATTAAAATTTCATTCCCAATGGGGGATCTTTATTCTCTTTTTTTCCTCTCTTGAAATTGAGCTTATGTTTCGCATGGAACCCGAAATTTCAAGCCCTGGCATAGAATTGTAGGTTACCTTAGTGTAAATTTCAAAAGGGCAAATTTCACTCAGACCCCCTGAGGTATCTGATAATGATAGAAAGTACCCCTCAATTTTGAAAAATGATAGAGACCCTCCCCTATTTCAAAGTTTGGATTTCACTCTGTTAGTTCCGCAAGTGAGACGGACGGAAAATGACATATTAAATTTCATTTAGTTTTACGGCTCTCTTAGGGCTCTCATTGAAGACCCTAGAGCCAACTATGACTTTTTAGAATAAAATAATCAGAAAAATAAAATCTCCGCACTGATTCAAACAGATGAAAAATTGAAACACTTAAGTATCTGTTCTTCATTTCGTTCTATGACTCCCTTAGGACTCTGCTCTGAGTAAAAAATTAATTATGACCCTTGAGGATAAAATGATTAAAAAAATAAGATCTCCGCACCGATTCAAACGGATTGAAAATTAGAGCACTTAAATATCTTATCTTCATTTGATTCTATGGTTCTCTCAAGGCTCTCATTGAAAGCCCTAGGGCCAAAAATTAACTATGACAATTTATGATAAAATGATCAAAAAAAAAAAAAAATCTTCGCACCGATTCAAACAAATTAAAAATTGAAGCACTTAAGTATCTGCTCTTCATTTGGTTTTACGGTTCTCTTAGGGCTTGTATTGAAAGCCCTAGAGCAAAAAATTAATTATGACCCATTAGGATAAAATAATCAGAAAAATAAGATTTTCGCACTGATTCAAATGGATTGAAAATTTGAGCACTTAAGTATCTCTTTTTCGTTTAGTTTTACGGCTATCTTAGGACTCTCATTGAAAATCTTAGAACCAAAAATTAATTATGACACTTTGGGATAAAATAATCAGAAAAATAAGATTTTCACACCAATTCAAATGGATTGAAAATTCGAGCACTTAAGTATTTACTCTTCATTGAAAGCCCTAGAACCAAATGAAGAGCAAAAATTTAAATGCTCCAATTTTTAATCCATTTGAACGGTGAAATTTTTTTATTTTTTTAATCATTTTATCCTAAATGATCATAATTCATTTTTGGCTCTAGGGCTTTCAATGAGAGTCCTAGGAGAGTTGTAGAACCAAGTAGTAGCAGATACTTTAAGTACTCCAATTTTCAATTCGTTTGAATCGGTGAAAAGATCTTAATTTGCTTATCATTTTATCCTAAATGATCATAATTAATTTTTGGCTTTAGGACTTTCAATGAGAGCCCTAAGATAGCTGGAGAACTAAATAAAATTGAATATTTCATTTTTTGTACATTTTCCATCCATCTCACTAGCGGAACTAACAAAATGAAACTCAAACTGTGAAATAGGAGAGGTCTCTGTCATTTTTCAAAACTAAGGGGTACCTTCTTTCATTGTCAAATACCTCAGGGGGTTTGAGTGAAATTTGCCCATTTCAAAAAGATGAACGGAATTTGTATTTGAGAGGCCATTTGTGATGTAGACATATATATGACATGTCACGAAATGCAACATGGAGTCCATCAGTCAAAAGAATTTGGGGAAAATAGTTTAGTAGAGAGTCACCCGTTCCAGTTTTTTTAAAAAGAAACTTTTAGAAAATGAAGGTAATTTTAAACTCAAAAATTATGTGTTTACGCAAATAATTTTTCTATCAATATGGATCTTGTTTGATAGATCTCATTGAGATTTTTTAAATGGTGCAAAAAAAATTAAAAAATTATTTTTCATTTTTTTGGGATAAATTAGCTTAAAATTAAAAAAGGTTAACCGAATGTACATCTTACGAAGGACATATCCCAGGAGGAAACGAAAAGGAAAAAAAAAGGTTGAAAAAAGTGCGATAACTCATGCACAACCCATATGAAGAGTAGGGTAGAGTAAAAAAAATAACAAAAGTACCATGTGCGTTGAGATCATACCCCCGTTCAACTATCCATTTAAGCGGAAGGACAGTACAACTGTGTATGATTGAAGTGATGCAAGTAGTAATAAAATGAAATTGAACTAGTATCTGGCACATCCCGCCAAGCCAGGAAATAAAATAAAAGTCACGGCCAGAGATGACCAAATGATAACCAACACTGAAGACAGCAGCGACATGGTAATACGTCATCAAGGGAAGCTGAACAACTACTATAGAGGAACATGGCACCAAGAAGAGGCTTGAACCAAAGATGACGGCATCCGACAGGGGGCCCCACCCTGCACACCACGCCCATTTCATCCAGCCTAATACTCCCTCATCCAAGCCTAAGGCTCGCTAGAAAACAACCTGCTCTCAGCCAACTACCAATCACCACAGACTCTAGAGAAGGGATAAGCAAACCAAGATGCTAATACTCCAACAAAATCCAGAGAACAAGCATAATACCCACTTCTAAAAGAACAGCTAATATAGAGGGACTAAGAACCGCGAAGAGGCTCGAACTAGAGATGTTGAAATCCGACAAGGCTACACTCCCAAGTACGCTACACACCACGCCCATTCCATCCAGACTACTACACCCTCAACCTAATCTCCTAGGCTCACTAAAATCTAAAAGTGGGACAGAAAAAGGAGCCACTAAATATGGCCACTCGAACCGCATGTGAACCAAGCTGCCCTTTTGTGGGCTTCCCGACCGGCGCACCCTCGAAGAGTTGCCACCCGGATTTTTTGAGGTGGATGATCCGAGAAATTGAGAGTTTGTTTGAGAGAAAAAAGCTTTTGATCTAGCGAAAACGTTGAGATTTTGGGTTCGGAAGCCATGTTATGAATGGGGAAGGTTTTGTTAAAGAAAATGCACCCTATTCTCCTGGTAAAACCGGTCTCTACTAAACTCTTTCAAAAAGGGGGAATTTGAAATATCTTTTAGAAAATCAAGCTCTTTAATAAACAAGTAAATGGGAGAGAGACATGGGAAATCTATCACGTTAATGTGCTTGTGGTGCTATCTGTACAAAGATGATAAAGATCATGCAGAATGAAAGAATTTTCTGACAGAAACTGTTTAGATCTCAGTTTCCTTTTGCACGACATATTGTAATACCGCGCACGGTTTTACAATATGCCGTGCGGGGTATCTGCTTTGTTTCAGAATACATCCCGGCATATCAAATAGCACGCACGGAGTTTTCAACTAATAACAAACAATATTTTTACCACAGGTCCATTCTGAAAACACCACTCTTTCAATCCGTGGACGAAAATCATCTTTCGTACCTTTGATCACTCATAATGATCAAGAAAAAAACTTTGGCTTTGTTTGGTTGAGAGTTTAGTTTAGTTTAGTTTTGGTAGTGGGTAGAGAGAGAAACAGGGTAATGATAGAAAAAAGAAGTAGCGTAATGATTAGAAAACAAAACAAAACTTACAACCGAACATAGCCTTTGTTTTTAGAACCAAGCGTGGCTTGTAGATTGGTCTTATTTTAAAGGTATCAACACCTGATATTTTAGCAATAAAACAGGCATGACAAAAGATATCTATAATCTAGACGGTTTCTGCAAGAAAACAATAGCTATATAAAATGCCGCGCACTTGAATACACTATGCCGTGCGACGAATCAAAGAGCCACACGGCATAGCATATTCAGCACAGAGGCTTATTCTTGTTTTTTTTTTTTTAAATAGTTTTAAGTCAGGATCCAACCAAAGGGGAAGATCTTGACTGCAGAAGGGTTCCCTCGGGGATAAAGATGAAGCTTATCCCAAGGAAACTAGTTTATACCTTTGATCTTGAGCTTAGACGAGGATGGATGGCTATGGATGAATGCGAGCAAGACCGGTTGAGAAAAGAAGACTGTGAGTGTGAACAATAGATGGGTACAATGAGTGGTTGAAACCTTAGAGTGATTAAAAAAAAAACTCACTTTAATGATGAGGAGAAAAAATGTAGGACTTTGAGAAAGAGAGGACATTGAGAATGTTTTTAGAATAACTTTCTCAAGACTTAGGAGTGAGGAGTGGGTGTGAAAGCACGATGAGAGAGAAAGAGAATTCAAAGCCCTTTTTTCTTGAGTTGAAGGTTGTATTTATAGGCAAAAGTCAAGGATTTTGAATTTCAAATGGTGGAGGTGTTTTCTGGGTGGGTCAAAAGTGTCTTTTCGGCTGAGCTAACTTGTAGTAGTGGTTCTAGTGGGCGTGGCCGACAGCTAGCTGAGCCACTCAGAACTTTATCCAAAATGCCGTGCGGTTGACCTCATGACCTCATGCGGCATAATAAAATTTGTTATGCCGTGCGGTGTAGAGGTGTGCCGTGCGGTACTAAGGGTCCAGTTCTGGGCCGTTGGGTTTTGTTTTGGGCTTTTGGGTTTTTGGGTTTTTGGTTCAAGGGAATCCCTCATCCAAGCTCTTGAAGGTATTGTTCCCTTTGTTTCATCATCGGGACATTTAAAGAACCTCCGAGGTCCGGATTAGGGTGTCTACAGTAGTCCCTCTTTAACATAACTCAGACACCATCGGTTGGTGCGAGTGACGCTTAAAGAATAGGCATCCCAATCCGTTGCTCCAAGGTCTTTAAACGGAGGCAAACACATGAAAATCGAAATGCAAGCAAATGACGATGGTGGTTGCACCCGCTGGGCTGCCTACGTACCCCATTGTAGGGATTAGACCAGCGTAGTTCAATCGGGACCATGCAAGCGAAATGAGTCCCGAGGGACAAATAACAAAATCATGCAATAAACCTTTGAGAAGATTGAGTGCCGATGGTGTTTGAGTGTCGTGAATCGTATGCGAGTAACTGCGTGTGTGAGACGAGCCGTCGGAGGGCATAAATAGCGAGAAAACCCTTCAGGAGGTTTAATTGAGACAAGACGAGCCCTCGGAGGGCAAAAATAGCGAGATGAACCTTCAAGAGCTTTAATTGAGACG